TGTCATTTTAAGATTTGTCTCAAACATTTTTATATCACTGTATGAATGACTTTCATACCAATTTTTGATTTGACAAAGGTATTTTTTAAATAAAAGAATTTGGGCAGCTAAATAGGCAGTGTACTGTGGGATGATGCAGTGAGCCATGCAGGAAGACTCCAGGTTTGATCCCACACTTATGCCGAGGTATTTTATTTCAGCTACGGGGGTGGGGGAGGGTAGCCACAGCTACACCAGCCAATTAATACCGGCTGTACATAATTGGACACTCCAGTTTTGTCTGAAGCTTAAAAAACCACTGAGGCCAGCCTGTTCTGTTGCACATTATACCATGTTGCTTTGAGTTTGTAAAACTGTATTGTCCCCTATGTTTTGAAGATAGCTGAAATGCCAAATGTGTGGGCCAATGTAGCTAACAATGCAATGCGATACAATTTGCATTTATATAGCGCCTTTCACATCTTAAGGGCAACTCACATCACTTTAAATCATTGGCTATTGAATTAATAATCCTTGCATTTATTGCGGGATGAATTGAGGTATGAAACTCACAATAAGTAAATAAGCACAAATAAATGTCTTGTCTATGCCAGCAAATGCATTGGATTCTGGAGCACAGAGCCAGCTTCACGTATTAGAAGGTAGTTGGCACAATGTTATTGCACCAATGGATGACCACCTTTGACTGATCTTGCTGGAGCCAACAGAGTTGGTATTGCTTTGGGTGGTCAAGTCTAGGATTGTTGAGTTGTTGGTACAAGATGTAATTATGTCATGTAAATCCAAAGGAGTAATTTGCAGTAATTTGGGGGGAAGGCAAATGGGAATAAATGGATTCCTCTTTCAAAGAGCCAGCAGGGGCATGATGGGTCAAATGGCCTTATTTCTGTGCTGTACACTCTAATGGTTTTGTACCAGGAGTCAAATATCTGGATGGTGTACATAGAAAAGTTGCATTGCTGCATAACAGTGAGCGAGCTATTAATCAAATCATCAGTGCACTTAATAGTGATAGTCATTACTTTTCAGTATATCCTGTGAAGCTGTTTGAGATGCCTCGAAAACGTGATAAGGTACCATGTCAAATGCAAGGATTATTATTATATTATTATAATAATAAATAAAATACAACGCAAAATACAATATAAAATGCATCCAAATTGGAAGAATATGCAAGATGTTTCGATGAGGCAGATTTTTTTATATGATATTTACTTGCGCTGAATTGATGTGTTTGTGATTCTTTGTATGGAACTTTTTTTCGTTTTTATATTCATCGTCTGTACCTGTGGAGATCAGTAGATTGTCAGTGTCATTAAGGTAGCAGAAAAGTGGTGTATTCAAACTGTATATTCTTCAGAGTAATTGCTGAGATGGGGTGATTTAACATATATTTGCACTGATGCAAAAGAATTGCGGCACTGCCCCCCCCCCCCCCCCCACACACACATACACAGCATTTTGAAACTGACTGGAAATGCCATTTGTCAATAGAAAAATAAGCATTCGTTTGGAAGTCAATGGGAGGACGTAGGCTTTTGTTCATTGCTCCTGATGCAATATTATAAGAATGTCTTTCTTGTTCCTGTAAAAAAAAACTTATCAGATTTGCCCCCCTTCTTTATCTCTGCCATCAATTGCTATCGTTCAGCGAAGGCTTTCTGTGACTCTTCAAATGAATGTGTGCTGAGATGTTTTATTCCATTCAGTTCATGTTTATGTTGATCACGGTGTTTGCTTTCTTCCCTCTGAGGTAAATTGGTAATTTTAGACTATGGCATTTACATTCTTATCAATAATCCATAAACTTATTGACAGGATGAGGACTGCCAGGACCAGGAAGCATCACATTGGACAGTACCTGCAGACGCCCCCTTCTCAAAGACACCGCAGTAACAGAGTTCAGTTTTAGTTGCTAATTTCCCTTTCGTCTCACTCAGCTGTTAAACGCTATTGCTGTTCTCACATAACTACACCTCCCTATTTCTTCTCCGTGGATTTAGAATGGGAGGGGAATATCTTGTTCGCCCCTTCGTTGAACATATGATTTTTTTTATACATCAACCAGGCATTCAAATATTATGAGTGGTTCCAATAATAATACCACTATTCATACTGTACTAAACTGCCTCCCAGTTTGACAGGTAAACGTCCAAATCAAGAAGATCATTCCCTCATGTGAAATTATCATTGCACCGTCTACATCACCTAAAACCCAGACATAACCCAGACGTATAAGAAAGATAAGTTTTCATTTTCACTGGGTCCTAAACCAAGGCAACAAACACATTGTGCACACGCCAGACACCAGCACTGGATGGATCAGCAGACAGTACAGAGTGAAAACGCGAATCAAGAAATAAAATTATTTTCTGTTTGAAAACGTAAGCCATGTCCATAGGACTGTGTGGACAGGTTACACCGGATGATTGTTTGAAGATGGGTGTAGGTTACGTATAGATATAATACTCCTTGTTTTTGATAAAGCGCCTGATCCTAATGTCCAAATCTCTCAATGTGCTCCACATGATTTCCCTGTAAGGTGCAGTGACTGTATTTGCAGGCATATTTGCCGTTGTATAAACATTCCTACGTAAAGGAATTTCATAATCGAGTTCATATCTGTCTCCAGACTTTGCAATCAAAGTTCAGAAAGTGGAATAACAAATCACAATCTTTAAAAAAAATCTGCAGCTCAGTAACAAATAGAGATGATCCCTAAGAAGCACTCAATCCATTTCCAGAGTCAGACATTTCACGAAACCTGACACCAACAGCACAGTAGAAAAAATATTTCTCACATAATAAGTAGTAATACAGTACTTTCTAATTAAACCAGTGATCATGCAATAACCACAACAGATATGGAGTTGTATGTGACTACTTCACATAGTAATTCTCGGAAGAAATCTCCCTTCTTATCGTATCATATAACCTTCGGGATGCTCCTCCACTGTTCCCTTTCCCCAGGTTTGGATGCGATGGTTCGGAACTGTGCATCTTAGCTGATGATGAGCCATTAATTTTCCTCAGTCGGGGACCTTTTTCTCTTGGTTTACGGAATCAATCATTTCCACCATAAATCTTATCTGCGGCCAGTCATGTCCATCTCCACCTGCACAAACAAGTCCAAGAGCAGAGAATAACAGGCTTCATAAATCTGGTACCAGCGCTTTGCACTTTCTGAATTTACTACCCACCCAGCTGGGGCTTTTATCCCATAGCATTCGCTCCGGTGATCTCGTCTGACACTGTGCTAAGTGCCTCACATCCACAGTGCAGCAAGGTGCGAGTGGGTTGCCCAGAGGGACATCAACAACATCAGGAAGGAAGGAAATGTAAAGGCAATAATAACCCGAGAAAACCCACACAGCGCCGTGCGGGTACTGGAGTGAAATGTTGTGGCGAATGTTTTTAATCGCAACCTGTGCAAATTGCAATTTGCTGTATTTCCAAGATAATTCAAGTGACCATCCATCTCAATTGTCCTTGGGCCCTGGCACTGTTTCTTTGTCATTGGGAATTTCTGAAGGACTTCTCGACACAAGACATGTTCAAATATGTATAAGGAGAATCCCCCCCCCCCCACCACCTCTCTCCCATTCAATCTGTGTTGCTGGATCAATCCCCATGTCTTATAAAGTGGGGTAAACTTCATTCGCACCGATCTGGACGTTTGGTATATTCCTTTGCGTTAGACTCAGACCGTGACTCTAGAAGCAGCTCCTGCGATTTGTAATAATATTGGTCCATTCGTCCCCCAAAGAAGAAAGATTGAAAGAACTCTGACTATTATACAGGAACGTTTAGACGCCTTATTAAAATTGCTTCCATTCAATGGCAGAATAATGTTTTTCCTTATTACTTGTAATACTTGGTTTTTTGGGGGGACTTCATTCAGAAAATGTAAATATATTTTTAAAAGTAACAGAAAAAGACATTCTGATTTACAAATCCGAAATTTGCTTCTGCAATTGGTTCCCAGGTTCCCAAAATGCAGCAGATAGACGCAGAATATACGAGGTGTCACTAATAATGATAATAATAATGAGGGAAACCTTAATATTACCAACACATTGCTCTGGGGCATACATCATTTTGACTATTTTACGCCAAGACCTTATTTGTTTGTGAGCTGTAAACCTGCTTACAGTTGTTTATCTATTTGCTTTAGGTATTTTGCCTTGTTAGATGTAACGCCTCATCTTACGTAGACTGCATTGAGCAAAGGTAACTATATATTTTAACATGCGAGCGTCGCCAGCATCTGGGAAGGCTGATGACATTTACCCAGCAGAGGTGAATGTGTTTGAGAGCCAGACCCCTCGCACCTCGCTGGCTCTCAAACACATTCACCTGTGCTGGGTAATGTCACCAGCCTTCCCAGACGCTGGCGACGCTGGTATTTTAGTCTCGCTGTGCAGAGAGCCCGGGCTCACAGCTCACACCCCACACTTGTGTGTGTTTTTTAATCCACGGTACATTGTGCTCTGGCAATGTGACCCCCCATCTCTGGGGCACAGCACCTCTTCAGCCACAACTCAAACTGTCAGAAATGTTACAAACCTGTCCGGCGTGACCTTAACCAGCAGGTCACTTCCCTTCTGACACAAACACGTGGAATATTTACTGATCCCGTTTGAACAGTGAGCACTCGCATTGCTGATCATCTGCACCGAGTTAGCAATGCACCAATATGGACTACAATAACTGAAACGCCTTTACAATTCACAGCAACACTAAGGACATACACATTACTGTGTTTTTGCCTTACATATTGCAACCTGCAGTCTTGGTACTTAAACACCTCGCGGGTCTCGTTTTGTGCTCTGACCTAAATAAATACCGGTATTGCTTTAAAAGCAAACCGTGTGTGCGTGGAAATATCATACTGCAGCCTGATTTTTGTGAGCATCAAGTGTTCACCAGAAACTAACGGTCACTCCTTCGCATAGCTGGTCCCGCCTCCAAACCTGAGAGATAAATTGCCAGTGTCCCGTCTGCATCCCAGAGTCTTCAATCAAACCGAGTCAAGGGATTCAGGTTCGCTGAAGAACTCCACATTCCCAACTTCATCGCTTCGTTTCAGCCATTGAGCCTCGGTTTGCGGGAGATCGCGGTGATACCATGTCCACTGGTTCCCTTAGCGATGCAGAAGAGCTGCAGGAAATGGAAGTGCTGGGCACAGAGGAGGAGTGCGACGGGATAAAGAGGAAATCGAGCAAGGAATTCTGCACCTCCAACGACAGCAACGAAGATAGCGCCAGCTGTGAACATGACTCGCCCAGAAAGGGCAGAGGGGCTTCGGGAAAGAGGCGCAAAACGGCTGCCAAGAAATCCCCGATGAATGGGGTGACCCAGGAAGGGAAACAGGTCCAACGCAATGCAGCCAACGCCAGGGAGAGAGCCAGGATGAGAGTGCTGAGTAAAGCTTTCTCCAGACTCAAAACCACGCTGCCCTGGGTTCCCCCAGACACCAAACTCTCCAAGCTCGACACCCTCAGGCTGGCATCCAGCTACATTGCTCATCTGAGGCAGATCCTAGCTAACGACAAGTATGAGAACAGCTACATTCACCCAGTCAACCTGGTAGGGTTCCTTCCACCTTTTGCTAACGTTACAGGATCTTTCTTTTTCTTGGACCTTTTTTTTTGAGGCCTGAGGCATTGTTAGTAACAAAATGATCTCTTGAACGTTCTGTGTGTAATGTTTTTTTTTAGCTCCACCATATGTCTGGTAAGATATCTGTGTGTTTTTGTGTGTATGTGTTTCTCTGTGTGTGTGTGTGTGTGTGTGTGTGCGTGTGTGTTTATGTGTGTGCATGTTAAGTGATTGCTTATACGTGTGTGCACATTTCTGTGTGTACATTGTGTTACTGCCTGTGCACTCACGTGTCCGTGTGTATCAGTCTTTTTCGCTGATAAACGTAAGTCTTAGAAATGGACAATGTTTATAAAGACTTAGTAACAACTGAGCACAACCAAAAAAAATTATAAAGAGACGATTCGGAAGCAATAACATTTATTGCAAGGAAAATAATCCCTACTTTGCAAACACGAATCTCAGAATATAACACAATCCAGACATTTCTGGTCAGAAAATATATTTTTGTGAATCTACCACATAACTTTGCGTCAAGTGAAAATGTCACATCTGGAGAAACTCTGGCCGAATCCCAGATTATTTCGTTTCACAGGAGCCTTTTGGACATGAATGCAGAGGGACATATGGTTTAATATAACATATACTCTTTTCAAAACGGTTCCAATGTAAACTTTAGAATGTGTTGCCATTAAGAGTTATAGGCAACGCGGCCCAAAACCTCTCTCGGTGTAAGAGAGAGATACCAGTCGATTGCAGGGTTTACTCTCCACTTGACCCAGTAAACTCTGTGTTGTCCTCTCCTTTTACCTGCCAAAGTCACTCACAGAGATCAGAAGTCAATGAAACAATAGTTCCCAATGCTGTAGTTGGCAGATCTCCCTCTTATTTTAAAGGGCTGAGTTTTTTTTTAAAAAAAACTTGTCACAACCTTTTTTTTTAAGTTGCATTTTTTTTATTTGCCTGGGAATATTCGGCCAATATTCTGCGGATGTACAAAGTTCCCAATTTTCGCTCTTCTGGTGCAATACTAAAAAAAAAAGCGCCTGGCAGTTTGTAAAAAAAAAAGGTGTTTGCAAAGCTTCTGTAAATTTTTGAATTTGTGAAATAGTTTTTAAGATCAAGCAGTTTAACTACTTACTATGGATTAATATGGATTTTTACTCATATTAATATTTTTGTATGATCATATCTGATCATATCTGAAACGAATATATGTGAAAGAGTCGCGCGTTCCAAAGTAAACTAAACAATAATGTATGTCAAAAATATGAAGAAATTCCACCAGAATTTAAGATTTACTTTATTAAAATATAATGTCAGATTGTGCAGAAATTAGCACAATGTTGAATTCAGTTTTAACTTTGAAGCGCGTTTTTCAAAGATAATTCTAACAGAACTTTACAGAAAACCGGCTTCAAAATTAAAGACTGTAATTAAGAATTTACCAATGGTGTTTGCTCTGAAATGCTGCATTAATAATAAATCTAGACTCAGGTAGATTTCTATCAGTTCATCTGTTTACGAAAATGTAAATTTACAATTTCCCTGTGCATCTCCTAAACTTTAATTCGTTTTTTAAAGTGAAATTAATTAAAAAGATCACAAACAAATCAATCTTTGTTTAAAATGAATAACTGCAAGAGAAAGTACTTCAGAAGTGGGAGTGCAGGGAATCTCTACTGTCTGAACGTAATTATCCTATAATATTATAGGATTATTTACACCATAACTTCACTTCATCCAAACCCCCAAAAATACAAAGTGAGTAGTCTTTTTTTACTGATAGTATCTATGTGATGACTTTCGTTTTTACGTCTAGATGTCATGTACTTTTATTAATGATAGGTTTAAAAATGACCAGCACTTTTTTTTCCAGCTATACTCCTATATTATTTCATTTAATATTGGCCCCTAAGACTTTATTTTTAGAATCACCACACTTTGCCACACTTTTTTTTGGCTTGAAATATTTTCACAACTATTACTTCGATTATTTGTTTTAAACATTGAGAAAAAAAAACATATTTTATTGGTTATTATATATTTTTTAATTGCCTGTTGATTTGAATCATTGAAAAAACGATTAAAGCAAATTGACCTTCAGTTTCAAATAATGAAATCCATCAATTGGATGCATTCTCGATGTTATATCTATGAATTATGACAAGCGGACGCAAAACCTCACTGTCTGGACATCTGGAGAGGGTGAAATTGCTATTTGTATTTAGCAAACGTTACTCTAAATGAAGATGATTTTTTTTTATTGAACAGCAGACATAGCCATTCTTGCACGAACTAAACTGGAGAAACTTTTTGGTTTTCTGATCAAGATTGTCTTTCGAGGATATCTTTAATAAATTAGGCGTAAATGTTTTAACGCTGCTGCAATAAACATCGACACTTCATTTTTAACTTGAAAAAACGCAAATCAAAATGTGCCAGTGCTCACATCTCGTTTCTTTAAATTACACTTATTTCTCTGTCTCAGCTCAGTAGCACATGTCTCTGGTATCTGTTGGTTACTTCATTGCTAACTAGTTGCCTCATCTCTGCTCTGGTGGTGATCTGAATGTAATGTGCAGTGGAAAGTCCAGTAAAAGTTGAGTAGAGATTTTTGTCTCTTTAAGGAATTTGTTCATTTCTCTTTTCTTAAATATAACTGCCTGAGCAACTCGGATTAATCATCAGAATAACACAAACACAGTAGGCATCAGCAGTGAACTATGAACAAAGTTCATGGTTTATTATTGTAATAAACAATCACTAACAAATATTTATTTTCCTCTTTTTAAATTTCAGACGTGGCCATTTATGGTGGCTGGGAAACCAGAGGCTGAGCTTAAAGAGGTGGTTAATGCTGCTCGTTTGTGTGGGACTACAGCGTCGTGACTGGAACTGACAGAAAAATAACAATAAAAAGACATGACAAAGCCAAAAGAACACATTCAACGCGCAAAAAAAAAATACCCCCAAAACGTTTAACTAAGAAGAGCCGAGCAGATCGATCCGATTGCTTTAATCATTCCAAACCTGGGCTACTTAAAAGAGTGTGTTCTTACGCTCTCACCATCCTAACCGGTTGCAGTACTTTGCTGGTCAAAGTACCAAAGGGATTGCTTTCTGTGCCTTCCTCACAATGTTGTGCTGTAAGGTAATGTAGGTGCGTTGATTCTCAGAGTTGACTTTGATAGCCACTCGCTGTGTAAGGAAACCTCTTATTAAAAGATATATATTTTCTTTAACCCGCAGGTCTTTTCTAATCGTGTAAATAAAAGTCCGCTTTATATTTAAAAGTCTGTTAGTGGTTATCATCTTTCCCCGGATTCAGGGGAGGGAGTGGATTTCAAATAATATCAGCAAGTAAACAGTGTGTTCGTGGTGCTGATGGATGGGCTCCCACATGTTTGCAACAGATCCGAGAGCCCGACAATAGACACAACAACGTGGCAACAGTAATGATTTGTTTATTTCTCCCATTAAAGGTATGAGCAAGCGATATCGCGTGTTATTCAGCTCGGACTCAAAGGAAAACAAACATTTTGCGCCTGCTTTTTCTTGCTGACCCAGCGTGCAGGAAGAACAACAGATTATTTGGGGGAGGAAAAAAAAATGGAACTGATCGCTTCATTATCTTTTGTCGTGGCAACCGAGCATTTTCAAGGTTTATTGATAATAATAATCATCCTTGCATTTGATGTAGCGCTTTTCACGTCTCCTAGACGTCTCAAAGCGCTTCACAGAATATGCTGCAAAGTGAATTGACCGTATATTTGTGGGCGAAACGTGGCAGCCAATTGCGCACAGCAGTGTCCCACAAACAGTCATGGATTGAAAATGACCAATTTGTTATTGCGTTTTTTTTTTGAGGGATTATTATTAGGCGTGTGGAGTAAGGAAACTTGCCCAAATTTTGCCCTGCCAGGACTTGAACCCAGATCTCTCTCTTGTGAAGCGAGTGCGCTAACCAAATTGCAAGTAGAAAGTGATTTGCATTTGTAAATTTCGCCCACAAAATACAGTCAATTCACTTTACAGTATATTTTGTGAAGCGTTTTGAGACGTCTTAACAACATTATAAGGTGCTATATCAAATGCAAGGATTATTATTAACATTACTACTACAACAACTTGCATTTATGTAGTGCTCTTGACGTTCCCGAGCACTTAAGTACTACTGTCAAAATATAGCATGTGGAGAGGACCCGAGGTCTGGTATGAAGGAGGCTGTAAAAAAGGCGATATGATTAATAATATTAATCCTTGCATTTGATATAGCACCTTATCACGTCTTCGAGACTGCTCAAAGAGCTTCACAGAATATCTCTAAAGTGAGTTGACTGTTTATTTTGTGGACAAAACACGGCTGCTAACTGCACACAGCAGTGTCCCACAAACAGTTGTGGATTGAGTGACCAAATATTATTTTTTTAAAAATGTTCTTAAAGGGATTATTATCGTCGGAAAAGTGGTCCACCAATCGACTAACAACTGAGTTCCTACTTACTGCTAGGTAAACAGAGGCATGTGGAGTAAGGAAACGTGGCCAACGTTTCACTCTGCTGAGAATCGAACCCAGGTCCTCTCAAAATTACAGCAGGCCATTAGCTGTTTCTAAACTGGTCATGTTTTAATAATTATAATAATCCTTGCAGTTGATATAGTACCTTATCACGTCTTCGAGATGTCTCAAAGCGCTTCACAGAATATACTGTAATGTGTCTGGTTTAGAAACTGGAGCTCCTGGGGCCATATTCATCATTTCCGGAATATGGTGTTAGATGGCTGGGACATTGGTAATCTAGTCAATGCAGTTCATTTCCTGATATCCTCCATCAGCAAATTCTCAGTCCCAGTGAATTCTCTGGCTAAACCAAGTGGTTCCTGCCTCCCACAGGAGTGAAGGACAGTCTGAGGCATCCACTTCGGCCTGTCCTTCAGTTCCTAGCAGCTGCTCAGAATAGTCTTGAGAGAAGCCTGGTTTGCCTCTCACTCGGGATTAATGTGCAGATAATAGAAAGGAAACTAGAGTAAATATTGTGTGTATTTGAGTTACGTAAGATGTTTTTCATTCACGCAGAGGCTAGCGATATTACATTAACCATTATTAGATTATTATTACATTATTAGAGTGACAAACCTATGATGATGTTTCAGTAGATTTACTCTTCAAGTGCCTTTGTATCTATAACATTAGTGCTTTATTTCAGGGAGCTTACCAACATGTGGAGAACAAATTCCATACCACTAATGTTTCTAATTCCACCAAAACATATTATTTCCAATAGCTTAATTGATGAAAATTGCTTTTGGTTTCTTAAGTGTAATAATATTTTTTGCTATTTTGACACGGGTGCATTTTCTTTTAATTTTTTAAAATATAAACACAAATTGTAGAATTGCAGGTGTCAGCTTGGCACAGTGGTAACACTCTCACTTCTGAGTCAGAAGCTTGTGATTTTGAACTCACAGTCAAGGTTGACACTCCATTGCAGTGCTGGGGGTAGGGGGTTGCGTTGTTAGAGAATTAGTTATTTCACCAAAGCCTCATATATAATAATAATCCTTGCATTTGATATAGCGCTTTTCACGTCGGGAGGACATCCCAAAGCGCTTCACAGAACACACTGTAAAGTGAATTGACTGTATATTTGTGGGCGAACGCGGCAGCCAATTGCGCACAGCAATGTCCCACAAACAGTCGTAGATTGAAAATGACCAATTTATTATTGTTTTGGTTTTTGGAGGGATTATTATTAGGCGTGTGGAGTAAGGAAACTTGCCCAAGGTTTCGCCCTGACTGGAATTGAACTCAGGTCTCTCGCTTGCAAAGCGAGTGCTCTAACCACTGAGCTACAGGACTCCACGACTCCATTATTGCAGGTATCTGGACAAAATTATTCCTCATCTGCCTGTTCAGATGGACATTAAAGATCCCATGGCACTACAGTATTCAAAAAGTGAAGGGAGTTTCCTTGGGTGTCTTGGCCAACGATTCCACAAATAATAATTAATCTTTGACTTCCTGGCTGTCTGTGAGACATTCTCATGCAGTAACTAGCTGCTGTGTTCATCCACAAATGCATGATCAAACTCCTGTGCAGAACCTTGAGACTTCTGAAGGATATGTTAAGCCGCTATATCAAACGCAAGAATTATTATTATCATTCATAACATGATTCATATGTTTTCTTTAGTTGAGTGAAATACAAGTCACCTGACATATTTCAATTTACAGAGTAGCTCAGTGAGGGTCTGACCTATTTCAGTGCCTTTTTGCTGGGCCAATTTACTGACAAGGATTGTAGCTTTCAACAGCAGAGGTTAATCTGTATGTTCAGGGTACGTACAACTGGTATAATGTGCTCTCTGTTGTATTGAAGCTAATGAGGCACCTGGATTGTTCTATTCAGTGGTTTAGTCTCTGGTGCCTTATGATTGTGTGGAATAGCTGTTACAGCTGATGGTATAACAGTAGGTAGGAACTCACAGTCAAACCTGCTCCCCCTATTGCTGCAGTTCATCTCTCACTGGTTATACCGATTGTCACATTGAAAGGCAAATTCTGTAGACGAACTTTGATGTTAGGAGCCCGTTACTGAATATAGGTGAATAATGTGACATTACATCTGGAAGTTATGTTGAACCTTTTTGGGCTTCAAATATCTTGCAATGTAATTACAGTCTGAGTGCAGAGGATGAAACATGAACTTTTAAATTCAACTTTAAAAGTTCCTGGGTGGTCCAATGAACTGACTTAAGGTTTTTAACATTATTAACCCTTAGACTATCAGCAGGTTTTAAGAAACTCTCTTCTCAATGTTTTTGTTTAAGATCATAATAATTAATTTGCTTTTAATGTAGCACCTATAATGTTGAGACATCTTAAAGCACTTCATAGGTAATTGCTGTCAAATGCAGCAACTGTATTTGAAAACAAATACACCAATTTATTATGCACATATCAATGTTCCACAAACATCTGAGAAGGAAATCCAATTTATCTGGATTGAGGATTGTTGGCTAGGACACAGGGCAAAACACCCTTCTATTTTCAAATAGTTCCAATGGGATATTTAACATCCACCTACACAGGCAGACAGGGCCTCAGTTTAACCTTTCATATGAAGGACAGCACCTCTGATAATGTAGTATTCCACTAGTACTGCACAAGAGAAATCAGTCTGGACTATGAGCTCAAAGTACCAACGTGAGGCTTGAACCCTTCTGACCTAGGGGCAAGAATGCTACCAACTGCCATCACTATGACACTTAAATAAACTATGAATATTTTATCCGTAAAGGCTTCAGAATAGATTTATTTCTATAATTTTTTTTGGTCAGCTGAGTGTCTGCCACATACAGAAACCCTGCCTACCATTCTTAAAAGCATCCAAACATAACTGAGAATTCCAGGCATCCCACCTAAACATGGAAATTTCAGTGTATTGGAATGGAATGTGCATTCTCTCCTGGAGGAACACATCCTGCTTATCTAATTCCGGAGAGTATTAAGTGCAGGCTGGTAAGATTCAAGTCTTGGGGATCCAAGAGTTTGCGTTGGGGGTACTGCTGGAGTACCAGTTAAAACCGCATACCTTGCCATTTGGAGCACTGTCTGGCAAGCTTTCCCACTGCTTGTACAGCTAGCACCACCCTTCCCATTAAGGGCTTCGGTTTCCAGGGTTAACAGGAGCTGAATGGGAAGAATCTCTGCTTCCAGTGTCTGGTCTGCCTCTCCAAGCGCAGTAATATTAACCCCGAATTAATAAATACAATAAAACCCAAGCAATTTAAATGAAAAACATAAATATTTAATCCTACACTTGCCTTGTCGTCTTGTGTCCCTATTTTTCCTTTATTTTAGGTTTATTTTTACTCTTGTGGAGTTCTGTAGCTCAGTGGTTAGAGCACTCGCCTTGCAAGCGAGAGACCTGGATTTGATTCTCAGCAGGGCGAAACCTTGGACAAGTTTCCTTATTCCACACTCCTGATAATAATCCCTCAAGAAAAAAAAACAATAATAGACTGTTTGTGATAAACTGCTGTGCACAATTGACTGCTGCATTTCGCCAACAAATATATAGTTAATTCACTTTACAGCATATTCTGTGAAGCGCTTTGAGACGTCTAGAAGACGTGAAAAGCGCTATATCAAATGCAAGGATTATTATTATTATTTTTACTCTTATTTAATTATTCCATTCATTCTATCTTTTAAGTACAGTAGTAAGGAAAGCTCAGA